TTTCGTTGTTGTAGATTATTATACTGTCGAATTCAAAACAAACAATTCATAGTGGCACCAGTGTTGCCAACTCGGATTTTGAAAAAGGCGTAGGCCCGATGAGAAAATTACGTAGAATTGGTAAATTTTGCATATGAAAAGTAAGTAGATCTACGTACTTTTTTCTTAGTGAAATGAAGAAGTTATTTGAAACCGAATAAAACGAGTATTTTGTTATACAATTTGTTTAAGAACGGGAGATAGAACAAAGAGTTCTTGGAGAAGTCGCTGCATTGGAAGCATTTACCATGCTGTGGTAAACATTTACCACCAGACACACACTGTTGAGTGCCGATTCTGGATGGTTCTCTAAATTTAAAACTTAATTTAATATTAGTCTCTCCTTTTCATTCTGTATAGAGAATGACAAGGATAAACTGTTGTTAAATGGGCTAGTTGACACTTTTTGGAATTATGTTTTAAATTGTTAATAATTGTTCTATCAGAACGAAAAAAAAAATTTTTTTTTACCTAGAAGACATACAAAAACGCTCTTTAGTCTATAGACTTATCTATGCTATGACGTCAAAACATTTGTAAACAAACACTCGCAAGCACGTAGGAAATAAACTTTCTAAGTTAATATTATAAAACCATGATTTCTAATAGATCACATGAAAAATATAGTAGTTATCATGATACACTTCTTTTGAAAGTCTTTTTGTTTCTTAGGTTTTCACGCACATCACTCATTAAATAAAACTAGTTTTTACGGGTTAATGCACGAAAACTTTATTATTTTATTGACGTTTCGTAGCCTTTACAGGTTTTATTCTGACGACGTAGCCTGTAAAGGCTACGAAACGTCAATAAATAAATAAAGTTTTCGTGCATTAACCCGTAAAAACTAGTTTTATTGAAAGTCTTTTCTTTTTGCAAAGATCAATTCGATGTAAGTAGGTACTCATTGATAATATTAAAAGTTTGAAAATACAATTTTTAAGGTTATGAATGTACCTACTAAGTCAAAGAGTTTATAGTAACGGAAAATATTCTTCTTTATTCTAGTGAATTAAGTTATTTTACAATTTGAAAAAAAAATAAGAAAATACGTAGATTCTGGGACTGAAGTTAGTAGGTTTCCAGAAAAGGCCTAAAATACGTAGATCTACGTAAAAAGACGTAGAGTTGGCAACACTGAGTGGTACAGTGGTCGGGCGACGCGAGCTATTAAACACAACCACAATTAGCGAGCTCGGGCGACTCCCGCAGCTTTTGGTTCGATCGCGGCCACTCGAACGCTTAGTTTGCGCCGATACTATACAAAATGTATGAAAATCCTCGTCCGCAGCTTGTGGTTGCATTTAGTGGTCGTCACTAGTGGCTAATTGTGCGTTGGCGCTAAATGGGGAAGGCTAATTTACTGTGCCTTGTATACTTCGATCAACAATTCTATAGATAACGGGTTGCATACAAAATCAAAGCTAAAAACTGTCCGCGTATGTTTTAACTTATGCAGCTACATTCGATCTTACAAACGAATAAGGTTACCAATAACATAATGTTATTTAGCACATACGACCTTTTATCTTATAAAACGAACTCTTGTTCCTTTTATAAATTCTATGTGATACTTGGAGAGAAACGATAAAAGTGAAAAAAGGAAAATGTGAAATCAACCTTATGACCCACAAAATAAAATATTTTTACCAGTCATCTGCCAGTGAGTTACTTCGTTGTGTAACAACCGAACTAATTTAAAATAAGATCTCACGCCTCAAGTGAGGCTATATTTACTGTGACTGATTGAACGCGCTGACCCGTTATCTATAAAATTGTTGATCAAAGCTTGTTTAGATAAATTCCTAAGTGAAAAAAGATATGTATAGCGGCAAGCTCAGTAAGTTTGCCGGGGCATTTAATTGAAGTAAAGCTGTGATTTCTATAATGAAAAATCACAAATAACCATTTACCAATTAAAGTCATTAATCGAAAATATAACTAACATAGTTTTATTGTATGATTTACTATCTTTATACAGAATACAATATGCATAGGTACGAGTAATTAATACTTCGTTAATGAAAATAATAGTGAGGTTTTTTTTACTTTTGGAATTTTTCAAATATTGGAGTGTAATCAAGAGACAAAGAATACACTCAATGCAAAGATATATTTGGTGTTATTTCCAAGCGCTCACAAAAACGTATTCTTTATTTACATAAAACAGATCAATAAAATGGTATATTAATCGTTTATTTTATTGTTGTCAGTAGATCAATTTACATCAGATATTAGAGTATGTGCGGAAAGAGAATGGGCGTGGCGAAAAACGGAACTAACATTAAGATTTTTATTTGGCAATCAAACCCAGCAATCTGTAAAACGTCAAAGTTTTGTTTTGATACGGATTTGTTTGTTGTTGTGATTTCTTGCGGTTTTTTGTATTTAATCATGTCTAAAGGGGGTAAACCTTACAAATACGGTAGAAACGCACTACAGCGCCCTCCAATCTAAATCCCATTCTCTTTCCGCACAGACTTTAATAGAACTGTGATGGTTACCTACATTACAAATAAATCATTGTACAAAACAAAATATACTGAATCTACCAGCGAAACATGATTGTTACTGGTGGATTATTTTAGCAGATTACTGATCTGTTGAGTTTTAGTCTAAGGAATTGTTGTGAGTTGACAGGAATTTATCATTATCATAATATCTTCATTAGTAATCAATTATACTAATGATGATATTAATATAATATGAGCTCAATGAAGTATAACTTTCGCAATCACCGGCCATAAGATGGGTGACCAAAAATATCTTAGTATAAAGTATCCGTGCTTTAGAATGCATCTACAGTAGTAAACACCCATCAATTCACACTGAGCCCGCAGGGTGGGTCATGGAACAATCTTCCTATTCCCACCATAGGAAAGGCCTTTGTCCCAGTAGTGGGGACATTAATAAGCTGATGATTATTAATCTGTATCATTTACAGGCACTATTCCCGATGCCCTGAAGACGGAATGCAGCAAATGCAGCCCCAAACAACGCGTGCTGATCAGAACAGTTGTCAAAGGTTTCCAGGAGAAGCTTCCTGATATTTGGTCTGAGATTTTCCAGAAATACGACCCTAACGGCGAATACAAGGAGGCCTTCGAGAGATTCCTTAACAGCTCCGACTAAACCAAAGAATCATACACCAACCGTCAATATTGGCAATATTCTATTTTATCTGTCTCGTATTTGACTTACTAAGTTACCCAAAATGTGATAACGTTTTGAAGTATTTCCTATAGTGGTGTGATGTTTAATTTATTTTATTATTGTTCAATTTTTGAACGAAAGCTATGGTAAAAGTGTTATTGCACAATTCTGTGAATATCATTTGAAATCGTTAAAATGTGTTTATATATAAATATATTTTTGTGTTTATATGCTAATCTTGTTTGATTTGTAACCAACCTAAAATAATAGGGAGAGAAAAATAGGACGAGGTTCTCAATTCACCTGTTTTTCTTTGTTTTTTTTATGTTTGGGACTTGATGATTCTTTTTTATTTTGAAAGCTGGTACTTCTCGTGTGGTCCAGTTCTAACATTGATATCCATGAGAAAACCATGCAAGTCTTTAAATTGAATTATGTATGTACGTGACAAATGAACGAATAACTCAATATCACGCCAACCGATATTGCTCTAGCTTATAAAAAGTGTAAAATAAAAACTTTTTCAACAAGAAATAAAAACCGGCTTCATAACAACAAAACCACTTAAAAGTAAGAAAATATGCATATTCGTTACTTATATCATATAATATTTGGAGTCGGCGCCATGCCTAATGATATATCTGAGTTGCCATTTACTACTTGAGTTAGCATGGCACCGACATCAAATGTTAATTTGACTTTTAATGTAGATTTAAGTAAAGAATATGCATAATTTTTTATTCGAGTGTTTTTTTTTAAAGTGTTTTTATTATAAAATAGTCTCAGCATTGAATGTTACAACAAGGAAAAATATTCTTATAGTAAACTTCGGGTAGGTAATACTGTAGGTATTTATTATGCCCTGTTACCTCTGTTAGCAACACCAACAGACATCCTACATTTTTAACTTAATTTTCTAATATATGTGGTATTCTAGTGTTTACTTTGATTATTAAGATCGATATCAATTGCTCATTTTTCACATTCGGTATTATAAAATACAAGTTTTATTAAAATTATAAGTCTAAAATATTCTAATCGATTAATAGCCAACTTTTCCTTTACCAAATTATCTAAGTATAAAATAGATTGATTACTGTAATCACATTGGCAACACTAAACGAATGAAATTGTCGAAAAAGTTGGAGGGGAAATGGCGGCATGGCGGGCATTATTGATTCAGCCTGCAACCGAGCAAGACGTGCCAAAATAATATTCTATGATATGTTGGTTCTGCGATTGGAAAATAAAGTGTAACAAAGGTAATTGTGATTGTTCGTCCAAAAGTCCTATTTCATTACTACAATCTCAACACTAGCTGTGTTATAAATACAATTTTAAAATAGATATATATTGTTAAAACATATTTAAATGTTTACCGGTACCGAATTAGATTTAATTTTTAATAGAATTTAAACTTAATCTGGAATATGTCTGTTTAAAACATTAGGTTTTTTGCTTTGCAGATATACCTATTTGTTTACTTATGAGTAGTAACAGTACGAGGTAACATCGTCATAATCAATACCAAAACTATTTAAAAAAATGTTTTTAGAAGAACCTTTATAACAGCTTATATGTGGGGCAGTTCGAAAGTTACTGGCTTACTGGATCTGGTCACTTACAAATTTACAATAAATCAATGAGATAAACTTTGTATGTATTATGGAATTCAAAAACGAAACTCATTTGGAACATGTTATTTTTTAATTTGCGAGATTGACATTGTTTTTTTTCATTGTGACATCAGGTTTTATAAATTTGCAATTTACAACAGACTTGCCAAATACTTTTATTTGCATTTGGTGATGAAGCACTATGTTGCAGCTCTGCGTATTCGTCGTTTGGAGAATTTAGAGGTGGATTTGATTTTTTCAATGATGAGGTACGTGAATATTGCGGTTACGGAATCTAATGTTGACTCCGTACGACAACTAATTAAAACTGGTAACTTGTCAGCTAATTAATGCTTTATCAAGGCATTGGAATGAGCCAAGTGCAAAATTATTTCTTATAGTTCGGCTCGGTTAGCTTTCCATTTGAAGAATACCACAAATAATTAACGGAGGACCAGAAACGATTGCAAGTCCACTGGTGCCGTAAAGTGATAAAAAAAATGGAGAACAGTCAGTGGCTATCTATAACATCGTGATAAGTGACGAAACATGGGTGTACTGATTAGAACCTGAAAACAAGCTATAATATATATATATAAATCAATGAGAAAAACTTTGTATGTATTATGGAATTCGAAAACAAAACACATTTGGAACATGTTATTTTTAATTTGCGTGATTGACATTGTTTTTTTTTTCATTGTGACATCATTTCGAAAATTATATGTCGTTAACCAAATATTTAAACCGGGAACTATTTTCTATCAATGATTTGCAACCTTAATATGGAAGGTTTTATAAATTTGCAATTTACAACAGACTTGCCAAATACTTTTATTTTCATTTGGTGATGAAGCACTATATTGCAGCTCTGCGTATTCGTCGTTTGGAGAATTTAGAGGTGGATACGATTATCTCAATGATGAGGTACGTAAATATCGCGGTTACAGAATCTAATATTGACTCCGTACGACAACTTATTGAAACTGTCAACTTGTCAGCAAATTAATGCTTTATCGAGGCATTAGAATGAGGCAATTGCAAAATTGTTTCTAAAGTTCGGCTCGGTTAGCTTTGCACTTGAAGAATACCACAAATAATTAACGTAGGATCAGAAACTACTGCGAGTCCATTGGTGCCGTAAAGTGATAAAAAAAATGGAGAACAGTCAGTGGCTATCTATAACATCGTGATAAGTGACGAAAGTTTTATTTAAAAAAAAAATGTGTGTACTGATTAGAACCTGAAAAAAGCTAGTCGGTAGAGTGACTTTGTTTGTAAAGCTTTGTCAACGAAAGTTCAGAAATGTCGAAACATTGTTCGAGAACTGGATGCTCCTTTTTTGGCAAATCAGGGCGTTACACGACGGCATCACTTGAAGATCAAAGAACAGTGACTGAAAATTGGTACATTAACAGTCTCTTGCAAAGAGCCTTAGAAAAAGTTTGCAAAAAGCCTTCACTACGATAATGTATCCTAATCGTAAGAAACGTTAAGTATGCCCTAAGTGACTTATTAATATACAAGACACGTATTGAATACCTTTGATAAAAGGGTATATTCATCACCATATAGAATATTGTTCTAGCGCTTTAAATAGGAAAAATGTAATAATTTTGTTTTTTTTTTTAAAAAAATCCATGTAGAATAAACCACAGATATATTAAAAAATTAAAACATTGTAATTTATCGGAAATAATGCGGTTTTAAATTGACAGTTAAAATTTTCGCGCGAAAACGGACCTATGGTTCCGATGACGTCACTCCTGTCTGTCACTGGTCGTACTTGTTCGTCGCTGGTTTACATAATTTTGCATATTTTTTCGACTTGAGTTGTTTTTTTGTAAAAAATTAAAATGGACTATCCATCAACATCAGGTGATCATAACTATACCATTAATATTCCGAAAAAAAGCTGTGTTGACTCATGTTTTGTGCCAATGTGTCCATTTACTTCAACAAAGTTTCCAAATAAATAGTTTTTGACTTTTGATTGAATTAATTTAATTGACCCAAAACTGCGAAAAAAGTGGTTTCAAGATAGCTTCTCCAAAGACCATTCGGTGCTGTGAAGATCACTTTGACGTAAGTCGGCGAATATACTTGTTATAATTATGCTTAATTAATCTGCTTGTACGTAAAAACGCGATAGTAACCTACCTACCTAATACTTACAAAACCTGTCTATAATAACATATTTTTAATTTTACAGTTGGAGAATGACGTCGAAAATTGGATAAAGTTTAAAATGTGTGGCACAATCTTCACATTGGCAGGACTGAACTAAGCTTTGCGTTTCATTTAAAATAATTGTAACACGATAACCTTCTTTACGTACTTTATGCTCCGGAGTAACTCGACTTTTTACTGTACAATTCTCCATGTCTTTTAATTTGGACATAGCAGATTACGTTATCGCCGTAAGATTCTCTTGTTGAGCTTAATTAACTGCTATGTGTAGAAGCCGCTGAATAAAATACAAAGTTTAACAACTATAATTTATACATAGTAATTTAGTCCCTTTAATTTCTACACTTGAAAACTCTGCGCTTTGGACAAAAAAAGTTACAACCATGTCAACACTAACTCTTGGTAAATTCCTGGAGTCTGCTTTGATAAACCCAACTTCCATTTTTAATAAAAAACGCAATTAATATTCCCATAAAATAATATTCACTTTTACAACCACTACAATAACCTCAAATTAGTGACGTCACTAAACGCTGATTGGTGTTTTAAAATACGTTTTGTTTCAAGTCCTTTTCATTCGTAATTATTGTTAGAAAAAACAACATTATGTAAAATAAAAACGTTGCAGTGGCCTTTCTTTTATATTTTTAACATTTTAATCATAAAAAAATCATAAATATTTTAATTGCATCTTCCCTAGTAGGTATTAATGTCGAAATCATGATCGTTAAATATTGAGGAAAACAAAATAAAGCACTAAAGGGCCTTGTCAATTTGAACAAGAACAAAGCGGTCACCTTAAACCACTCCAAGACAAATATTATTACTAAAACAGATTTGCCTGCCCTTGATTAATTTTAGATAATATAGGTGCAATGTCCTAAAAGGTTTTTTTTTCTTTTATTTTGCCAACAAACAGTCATATATTTTACAAAAATAACTTATGTAAACACAATATTAAAACAGTTCTGAAGTTAGGACATTCTCAGCTAACGAAAATCCAAAATTAAACCATTACCGTACACTATTGTGTGACGAAATATTTATATCATATGCATATACATATATATGTGTCTGTGTACACACACATATACATACATACGCACTTTATTTTTATTTCAAGCCTCTCCTGAAAGTTTTACAGTAAGTTTCCTTTTAAATGTTTTTTTATTATACTTTGAAATACGAGTAAATATTAACTTTCAGTATAAAGATATCACACATATCACAGAAATCAATCAATACATATGTGATACAAGTGCAGTTTTATAATTAACTCTGTGCTTTCGCAACTAGCAAATGCAATGTAATTAAAAGATCTGCATACAATGCCTTCAATCAATCAATTAATACACACAACAATACCAATAAAGTGTTGGTACATTTATCCTTCTTTTATTTATATATCTTCATGAGAACTTGATTTATAAATTGGAAGATCCATAATTATCATTATTATGAAACTGATTGAGCATATATAAGAAACTGTGCATTCTTTTATCGCGTCAGTCTTCGTGGAGAGCTTCACCTTGGAAGAAATTGTAAGTTTTTATTTTATTTTATTGTTTTAAGGGACTTTTGAACCAAATTGTCCATACTAGCCGCATTGTAACCTGACCATAGTAAGTAAAGATTTTTAATATATACTTTGTGTCAACATAGTGCATTATAAAAACGAATAATAGGCACCTAAATATGGAAGAAGGTTTTATAAATTTTTCCTTTGCGTCTGAGTGTTCTTTTTGTAATTTTTTAAAAGAAATTGTGAGCCATTTTCTCTTTTGTATACTTGCAGCAATTTTGCTAAATCTCAATTTGAATAAAACTGGCGTTTTGACAGTTTTTTGGGAAAAGGCTAGTTTTTATTGAATCAAGTATTAGCAAATTTGCTAAATCTCGATTTAACTAAAACTAGATATATCCCATAGAAAAATGTCTAAACATCAATAACTATCATTGTCTGGGTTATATATAGTTTTAGTTAAATTGAGATTTAGCAAAATGGCTACAAGTGGACCTGTGTCACTGAACGGATTCGGGTGAATTTTGCTATAGAGATGAATAGTACTTGCCTCGAAGATAAGTGATGGTGGTTTTATATAAAAAAATAAAGTTATTGGGGCTAAAATACAGCAGGTTTATTCGAGGTAATTGTTTTACGAAGACGAGCTAACGGATACTATCTAATCTATATTGATATTCAGAAGAGGTAAAGGAGATTTCTCAAATTGGCCCAAATTCACAAAAAATATTGACATATACGGTAATTCTTGGTGTAATTTATACTTTATATTACAGCCATTCGATTTTTAGCAACACCAAAAAAAAACAGTAGCCTGTTTATCTGTTAATCTAGATGCTCTATATACCTGAATCTAATACATAATTTCGGTACTTGGCTTGATTTCCCTAGTTTACTATATAACTTATTTGTTTTTTATTATTTTAATACCTATGTACCTATTTGCAAACATAACCTCAAAATCGTTCAGTGTATATGGTTTATAGAAGTTCTCAGGGGTGTCCGTCAATAATTTTCGATTCTACAGTAATTTATATAAAATTTCGAATATATATAAAACAATTTTTCATGATTATTGGTCTTTAGGCCAAACATGTATGGAAGCTGAGCAATCTCCTTTGTAAGGTTGAAGGGGGTATCTCTGGATGTACTGAACTGATTTTGAAAATTCTTTTACCAATAGAAAGCCATGTGCTTTATGATCGTCATTGGCTATATATTAAAACAAAAACTGTAGTCTACACCGAAGTGAAGCGAGTGCGGGCCACTAGCATTTAAACGATACTTGTCACTATTTCTATGAACCTGTGTGGAATAATAATATCCCATCCACCCGCCTGCCCCGCCCATAAAAAAACCAGTCGACGGTCATTGACGGTCGACCTCTTGTCTCCCCATGGGCTGCAAGTCCTGAGTCGTCTTTTAAAATACCTGACATGTTTTAAGGTAATATATTCATTTCCCGAGACAAGCTCGTTTGCTTTCGGACAGGATTTCTTTAATTTTTTTCCTTCTCTGTTTTACCATCACTAATGGCGCGATTACATTTGGTCGTTGGCCCGAATACGAATTAAAATGGTATTCGGGTTAACGAAAATGAAACGAAGTGTAAATGAATGGAGTCGAGTACGCTCGTACTCGGGTAGATTTCCTTTTGTTTACCCGACACCTTCTTGCAGCCCGTATTCCAGTGTAAACATTGTTTCGGGTGCCCGAATTCGAGTAATATCTTTCGTGCACCAGAAGAATGGCTAACGACCACATGTGATTGCGGCATAACGCGCTCTAAGCAAACTAGTAAGTAAGTTGGCCGCAATGACAAGTCGTGTCGGCCCGATGTGCGATCAGTTGGCCGTCGCGGCTAAGTGCGCGACGTTCATACGGTTTGTTTAGTTAATCTGGGCGTTTCAGCCATTGGCCGTGGTAGTGGCGGTCTAGTGCGCGAGGTGCCTAATATCAATCTCCAATAGAGACTTTCAAAAATCGCATTTGGTTCAATGCCTACTTTGTTAAAAAATGTTGTAACAGCAATTCGGTTCCTTTTATCACCTCACTCATGCATGTCTAATCTGAGTTTCCATTTAGTACTTGGGCATGCCACCAAAACCAAATATTAATTTGTCTAAAAAAATGTATTTTTTCTTAATTTTTAATGGTTTGTTTTTATGAAGTCAATTTCCACTTTTGTTAAAAATGATTTTATTTTTCACTTTTTATAATTCAGAGTGATGTTACTCTGAATTTACTTACTAAGTATAGATATCTGGCCGGCAATTCTCTTTAATATTTAAAATTTAAACTTAAAATAACCAAACATGATATGTGTACAGTATGTAATTGAGAAGTTCCGTTGTTTATCTCCGAAAGTACTCCTTAAATCTTTACCAAATTAATATGGACCACTTCGCTGAGAAAGTCTTTCGAACAAAAAAAGAAATAAATTATAAAAGAGTAAAAGAAGTAAATGACATAAATTACTATAATGTTAGTGACCATGAAAGTTTAAAACGAGTTGGTTTATATCACAAAGCAGCGTTACCTCACTAGCTTTAACAATTTGAATATCTAACACTATGAATCCAGAGTGGTTCATGAGCGTTTCATCCACTATAAGACGTTTACATGACTCGACTTTGCCCATGCCATTCACCAGAAGGGGTGCCATAGTTCGCATGTAAATTATTATTAGTAACTAGCTGTGCCCCGCGGTGTTACCCGGGGCTTATTAGGGATATTTTCCCGCAGTAAAACGTAGCCTATGTGTTAATCTAGAGTGTCAGCTAACTCCACACCAAATTTTATTAAAATCGCTCCAGTCATTTAGACGTGAAGAAGTAACAAACATACACACTCACAAACTTTAGCCTTTGTAATATTAGTGTGATTAGGATTCTTAAGGCATCAACTTGCTCACGAAAAACATATTTATTACTAGCATTACCTTGTGATTGTTGCGGCTGGTTAAGTTATTGACATAACATTTTAGGTAGCGGAAAAACCGAAGAGTGCTTGCCCACTGGTCTTGTTTGCATTAAGAACTAATAATAGATGTTGTCGGAATATTGTGATTATTGAATGATATAATATTTGAGTATAGTTTAGGTAATCCGTCGTAATTATTGGAAACATTGTTAGATACGTTTCATATAGGTACTTACTTACTTAATTTTTCTAAACTATATTTTCTTCTCAACGACGCTACATCTGAAATTGATTGGGTCTAAGAATTAAGGTATAAAACCAAGGGTCTGAGACATTTTCCCGAAATAACAGTGGCAGTTTGTAAGCCCATTGGTAATAAAATTTTCGAAATACCCCATCCGTTGATAGGTTTATATGTATCATCACGACGGATCAAACGGAGTATTCGATAAATAACAAATATAAATTAAGTTTGGATGATGCCCATTTATAATAATAGTAAACATTTATTTCAGATGTATCGCCCATAGAACAAACTTATATATAAAAACAAAAATAAATAAAAAAAAAACAATTTCATAGATAATAAGAGCTGATATCACAATAATAATAATAATTAAAAGTAGTTACGATTACAACTTCATTCATTAAATTAAACCAATCAAATAAATAAACAAAAAAAACATATGAAATATGATCAAATTAACTAAATCAAATTGATTTCATGCAAACAAGTTTTTTAAATATCACAAAATACTTATGTCATATTTACAGCAGTCATACACAGAGCTAATAGGCTATTTGACAGTATGAAAAATAATGTACCAATTGTTGACATCTGTATTAAATATGAAAATTAGCAGCTATTTTACTATTCTGTATGAGCAAATATAATTAATAACTTTTCTGTAAAATCATTTATTAAAAATGTTTTTTTCGCTCCATGGTCACGTGATCGAAAACGCCTGGGATTGGCCAAGACTAAAATGATGCCACACGCTAGTACTTCTTCCGGCTAAAGTGATATTACATTGTATCGTGTGACGTTTTAATGACAGTCGTGTGACGTCACATACTAGTGGGACACCATAATGTTTAAAGAAACGTTTTTGCGGCAACTTGAAAATTGAATTTCTATATAAGTTTTTTTACTAAATTACACAACAGAATTAAAAATATCCACTTTATATGTACTCCATAAACATTACTTAATAACGTGAGATCTTTTTCCAAAACTTTTCAAATAGCCTATTATTAAATTACAACATTTTCTAATGCGATCCATGAAGGAGGCGGCTCTCTTTTTTATTATGACAGCATAGAAATCATCAATTATATTCTCCACAAATATGCCCGACCATTACACGACGATTACACCGCCACGGCAGTTTAAGCATCGCTCTAAAAGCGTTATTATACTGCACACGCAGCGGTATGCTCGCTTTGTATAGTTCTTTCACAAGTGGATGGTATAGAATGAATAGCAGTAAATGCCGAATACAGTCATCATAGCGTATGAATGATGGATTTGCGTCATCATAAACCTCAGTTTTGAGATGCATGGTGCAATGATAACAGCGAGAGACTCTCAGGCCCGTATTACAGAATGACAACTAAGTGTTGATCTTTACTTGAGTACAGTTAGAAAGGGATGTCGCTATGTGGTATATTATATAGCGACATCCCTTTCTAACTATGCTCAAGACTAGATTAATTACTGAGAATCTTTCTATAATACGAGCCTCAGATGGTAAGCAGAGAAGAGTTCGGTAAGCCAGTAAAGGTCAAGAGCATTTAGCCGGATTTCGCTTAGAAGCTTTTCGGTTGCACACACTACACCGAGCAAATCTGCGGGCTAACATGCTACTTTTGGCGACAATGGAAAGATGCGACATATTTTTCACATATAAACCACTCTTAATAGAAAGGTGACAAAACAACATTTCTCAGCTGAACATAAGGAACAAAAACATATCAACATTCAACAAAACCGTCTACACAAAACTTTGTTTCACTTTTACAACGCATTTTTTTTTTTCAGAAAATTATATCGACTATGAAGTTCGCAATTGTGTTGGCCGTTGCTCTGGTGTCCGTGGTTGCTGAGGAGACATACAGTACGGAGAACGATAATTTCGACTTGGGCGCAGTACTCGCTGATGTAGAGAAATTGCGCCCGTTCTCTGGATGTTTCTTGGACAAGAATCCATGCGATGACCTTACTAGCGCCTTCAAGAGTAAGTATTTTTTGCCTATATATTTATACAGCTACTATACCAACTTATAGATGAAGATTTATATATTCAATATGATCAGTTGAAATAAAAGATTGTGACTATTGGCGACCAGTGATATTTTTTGCTTAAATGATAGAGAGTGATTTATTGAATGACATGATATTTTAAGCCGGGTCTCCAGCAAAAGCTCTTTGAAAACATTCAACATAAACACACACACAAAACTTTGTTTCTTAAATATGTTTCTCTACACTCACCGTCTACTGCTCACTTGACTGTCGTTTCCAAACCTACGATCTAGGTGCAACAAATGTCAAATTTGACAAAAGTTTCATAGGTACATTTTATGTCAAAATTGAAACGTCAGAGTAAAAAGCTGCATTTGCAAAGCGTAGGTTAGAAACGCAGTCCCTTAGCGAGTTGTTAAAAAAAGGAATAAAATTTTGTGTAGACGGTTTTGTTAAATGTGCGCGCTGAAGACCCGGCTTTAGTTAGAACGATGGAAACATTTTCAAATACGTTTTACACACCGACATAGGTACATTCTTTTTATGATAGTCACTTCTTAGCGACGCTATATCTGGCACTGATCGGGTCTTAAATGCTTTTTCGCAAACCTCAGTGCCTAGTCTATTAAATATAATGACTACAACCCCCCAGACTAGAGACAATGAAAAATAGAAAATTTTATGCACAATCATGCTCGAGATATGAAGCTATTAAAAATATACAAATACTTTAACTGGAGCTTTCCAATCATTTTTTAGCTTAGCGCTAGCGCGTTCGGTCTGCGTATCATTGGATGGGTGTTCAAAAATTTATTATCTCAAGCTCCACTGTGCTTCAGAAGCACGCTAAGCCGTTAGTTCTGGCTGTATCTGTCATCGTTAGCACCGAATCCTAATTGGGCTCGCATAGTGGATCCTGGTCCAATCTCCTTATTCCATCCGTGCTGATGATGATGATGAATATTTTTTTACAGAGGACATACCAGAAGCTGTTCAGCAAGCTTGTGCTAAATGCAATGACCGACAGAAGCAACTAATGAAGCAGTACTTGGAGGGTATCAAGGAGAAGTTACCCCAGGACTACGTGGATTTCAAGAAGAAGTACGACCCTGAAAACAAATACTTTGAAAATTTAAACAAGGCAGTTGGAATCGCTTAAATTATATACAATAAAATATTTTTACATTAAGTTGTTAAATTTTTTGCACCTACATCCTTACCGTTCTTTATTATATGGAAAGTTAAGGATACGAAGGTAGCATTATTTTCTTTATCTGATACAGAAATTCACGTACAGCGTTAAACCAATGATTCTTATTTGCAATAAGTTTGACACCAATACAAATATCGAGTCAGCTTCTAAGTCAAGCATCAGTACGGTATTCAATACTACAATAAAAGCAATCTTTTTTAAATGCTTGTCTATTATAAATATTCCTTTAATTGTTATAAATGTGTGTAAACTCTTGTAACCAGAAATTTTATATCACAATATTGGTATCTAATAATTAGTTCGAGAGCCCATGACACTGAACCAAGTTAGATAAAAGTCCCAGATGCATTCATTTAAACCACGCAGACGAACGGAAATATGATTTCATAGAAAATTTGACTATCAGTGTTGATAATAGATGGCGCTGATTTATCACGAAATCACATTTCCGTACGTCTGCGGTCTGCGTGCTTTAAGTTGTAATAACTTTTGAAAGAGTACACCAATTTTGATGAAATAAAGCTTAAATATTACTTGCATGCATACTTATCAGTACAAATGAAAAGGAACCGGGTCATTGATTGATTATTGAATTGAAACGCCAAATCTTGAAATGGTCTTCAATCGCTGCAGCGGTTTTCTTACACATAAATTCTTATGTGTAAGAATTAAATCTATCGGTCCTTCAGAGAAGCATTGTTTTTTTAAAGTAGTCCATAGACTAGATACTTCAATTTTGGGGGCTCTTCTCATGCTGCTGCTAAGGACATCCAGGAGGGCTTGCACTCCAGCACTGCATTAGTGTATAATCGTCCCCTGTTCTGATTAACAAACACACCTGGGAGTCTCATCATACTAGTAACCGGATTGTGATTGCTTTTTTAATAGCGCTGCCAGGTTTTTTACAACGCAGCTTTGAAGCATCTTCATTTCGTGTTCCCTCTTTTAATGACGTGTCTGAGACACACTTATATCATCTGAGAGTCTTATCAAAATAGGTTTAGTGTAGTAGGCTCTCGAAAATATCTATATGATATTCACAATAGAAAACAATTTGCGAATATTTATGAGACGACGCCATATTCTCGTAATGCAAACTCAGTTTTTTTTATATAGATACCTATATATTTTATAGTGATGGATGTTCAGCCATACAAAAATGCTTATCTTTATAATTTGAATGATATTTATGTTTTTAACTTTTATCATGCCTATTACTATTAATATCAGCAATAGTGTAAATACAGATTATTGCTTTCAAAATATAGAAGGCAAAACTGATATAAGTATGTGTAAGTTATTATAAGCTTTAAATCAACTTAAAAAATATAATTCTTCGGTATCTAGTTATTGTGAATTATAAACGGACGAGCTGATGGTGATATTCCACCTTGAACTGCTATACGATCCATCTACTGAAACAAGTCTATGAAGAGAATTCGACGTGGTTTGTATTTGTTATCCATCAAAGTACAACAAAAAATGAAATCATTTACACCTAGCACGACCCATTATTGAATTCGAATAGTTTGCGAGTTCGAAATGTCATTGTCCAATTTTGTATGGAAACTTGAATAGCAGCGCCATAGTGGATGTAACGAGAGCTTAAAATCAGTACACATTTGACAATTACATTTCGTACTCGCAAACGTCACGAATTCGTAAACTATTCATTTTACATTTGTAAAAAATATGTTTGAAATCTTCACGTTGAGCCTTTTCTGTTCTTATTTGATATATATCAAATATAATTTGTTATATAAATATATAACAAAAAAGAACAGAAAAGGCTCAACGTACATTATGCTAAATTTTAATTTTCAAATTCACCACCAAAAGTATCCCCCATATTCGAAAATATATTTATTTACTTTTTTCTTTCGTGTTTGGGTCACAGACATACAATTGTAATGAGAATTTTAGTGGGTATGGGACTTTTCAATAAAATTGTTGAATTTTTTTGAAAAGTCCCATACCCACCACTATAGGCCTTACCCTTTTAGTTTCGGAGATCAAGATTTCGACGATTAGAATAAACCTATAAAATTAACAATTGATGACATAACTAAAATCTACTTTTTGTATTCATGACATGACTAAATCTACTTTTTTAGTTTCGCATATCAAGATTTCGACGATTAGAATAAACCTATTAAATTAATAATTCATAACATAACAAGAATGTACTTTTTGCATTCATGACATGATTAAACCTACTTTTTTAGTTTCGGAGATCAAGATTTCGACGATTAGAATAAACCTATTAAATTAACAATTCCTAACATAACTAAAAAATCTTGTATTAATAAGTGAGCCAGTACAAGTTAGTAAATACTTTTAATTGATAATATTAGGAAGCACGGAAAACTAAGAGGAAATTTTCCTACACAAAAAAATTATTACATGATCTTCCTTTCATTTTGAATGTTATGTTATTTATGAAAAAATAATCCTTCTGATAACCTGTTTCGATGGTTATTATAGAATATGTCATGTGTTTTTTTTTTAATTTCATGACTTTGAATCCCAGTTGTAGCAGCATTTTTAAAAAAATCTGTAAATGCAGTTCTATTTATTACTAAAAAATAATTATGTCTTTTTTTAGTAAAATATCCTATCTTAAATATTTAATATACTTTCCCTCCGTGTGACAAATCCGTCGGACACCATGTATATTCGTTTTACAAATATTATATAACTGATTTTAAAAAGCAGTTCTAACTCAGATTTTCTATTTCAACTCTGAATTTGATTTAGAAACTCAGGAACTCCGGATTTATTGATTTTATTTATTCACTCAATCAAATATTTCAACATTATATCTAAAAAAAACTCTTAAAGATGGGTTTATCTGTCTACAGCAATTCGCTCTAACAAATATTTCTTAAGTTTATGCTTAAAATTATCTTTTACTTATATTCTTGGATAGTTTGGGGCCTCATTTAGAAAATTAGGAATAACATAGTTTAGTGCTCGCATACCTTAAACATTGTTAGTTTTAGGTAGGAGATATTTTTTATAAATAAAGGCTACGCAACTGTTCTGGACAATATGGTAAGACTGTAGATTATGTACACTTTTATGTTCTGTTAAATAATATATAACTTGACTTGATCATACACACTCAATACTTTACTATGGTTAAAACAAGACACCATAATTTTCTGTAAGATTAATTATTAATACATTTTGGAACTATTTAAACATCAAAAACTTAAAAACTACTTGATGACTAAAATTTATAATCCAGATTACCTTAACCTACTTAACTACTTTATACATAATAAAAACACTATCAAAATTTTTATTTGTATATCTTTGAAACATGTGTCAATGTCAAACCAGTCCCCACAACATGAGCACCTCAATTTATGTTTTATCACATTTTTTTATCGCGCCTTACTGTCAAACTCCATAGTAATTTGACACTTGAGCGTGATAAAATCGAGTAATATATCATATCGCGGTGCTCATGCTAGGGCATAATTGCTTAAACCAAAATCTATCACTGAATCAGCTAGGACCTTAAACATTACTGCTTAACGGCTTCTCCGTTTCGCACCCGTGAGACTTGCGAGATGTTAGGTGTGAGGAACGTTCGCTGGTATGCCGCTTAAGAGCGCCAGTGACTGTAAATAGATGTTTTGCCTACGTAAAAAAATGACAATATAGGTACATTAATCTGAGGATTCTGTATGGAAGCTTATATTTGAGTAGGTACAGCAAATTTGATTATTATTAGACCTCAGTTTTGAACAAACATAATTTCCCTAGTTGAATCTATGATCGTTAATAAGACCAATCTACATATGATTATCTACAACCTCTAGAGTTGGACACGAGGAATATTTGCTATAGGAATATTTGATACGAAATATTCGTATCACTATGCAGGCCATTGATGATTTGTGAGCCAGGATGGTCGGTTTATCAGGTGTCTTATTCTGCAATGAGTATATGTGAATTATAATATGTGTACCTACTGTTTTTCTTTTGTTAAGATGGCCAGTAAAGGTTTCATTTCATTTCATTTAATTTAATTTATATTATTATAGTTTTTTGCCTATTTATCACCAATTCTACATCATGTGCTCACTTACACATCTGATCAAAGCTTACCTGCATATCGATGTGACTTATAATATGTGTACTATTTTATTTATTCTTTAGGTTAAGTTTTCCTGTATTTTTTTTTCGTTTTATTTCTAAGTTTTTCTTTTGTTAAGATGGCCAGGAAAGGTTTTATTTAATTTCATTTCAATTATTATAGTTTTTTGCCAATTTATCACCAATTACTACATCATGTGGTCACTTACACATCTGATCAAAACTTACCTGCATATCGATTTGTGCAAGATTTATGTTTCTGTTGGCTGCTACCAGTAAACACGTATCATCTGCGAATTGGTATACATGACCCTTCTTTATTTATGGAATGAAAGCCCTAGCACTCAGCAGTACTCGGCAGCACTCGGTAGAGAGAGCTGTGTATCCTCGGTGAAGAATCTGTACCCTTAGCACGAACCAATATCGAATTCGTAATATTTGCGAGTCTGAAGTGTCATTGCCAAATATGTACTGATTTTAAGTTCTCGTTACGTACTTGTGGCGCTGCTGTTCAAGTTTTAATACAAATTTTGACATTTCGCAATCGCAAACTATTCGAATTCGATAATGCTTGCTGGGAGTACTGTACCGAAACTACTCAGTGAGGAATAAGCACTTTGTAAATAAATCTGTACAGAATCGGTACAGAAACGAAAATAAAACGAGCTCGCATCGACCCGCTGAGGAAGGCTTAGTTATGATAGTTCATTCATCTGACAGTATTATAAAGACTTCATGTTGTGGGACTAGATAATACAGTGTCACACTAGCAATGCATCAGGCGTTTGTAATACCTATTACTCATAAGTTTGCACCATACAAATATCAAACAAACACACTTTTTGT